GGAAATGCCTGCAAAGTGGCAAGAACCTGTCTCAGTGGGAGAGGAGGAGCTGCAGGAGGCTCTGCACCGAGTGCGGCCTGAAAGTGGAGGAGAAGAGGACTGAAATTGTCACCAGCTGCAACTGCAAGTTCCACTGGTGCTGCCTGGTGAAATGCCAGCAGTGCAAGCAAGTGGTCACTAAGCATTACTGCTCCAGAAGAGATGGCACCTCTCCCAACAACACCCGGCGGCGGAACAGGGGGCACAAGAGATAAATCTGCAACCCTCAAGCGGACTCATGACAAAGATGGCAACTGATCTCTAAATTTGAGGTTGGGAAGAAATTTCCCCAGGATCCGGAGGGAGTTGGGGGAGGGGCGGGAAGGGGGAGGTGGCTAATCAGCCTCTTGAAGTGGGGATTGTCCATTGGGGTCAGGTGGGCATATTCCACACCTCCCTTGTTGTGTGATTACACAGAGCAGGCCCTGGTGGACCTAGGACATTCCTGCCTATTTTCCTGTTTCCTCTGGTTCTTGTAACTCACTTCTTCCTCATAGCCACTTGGTGTATCTGGTTGAAGTGTTTTCACTTGTTGGTAATCTCAGACAAAAGTCTGTGGGCCTGATTCAGATGTCATTTACACTATTGTCAATCATGGAGTAAATCCACTCAGGCAGTGGAGTAAGTCCAGGCATCAGTGTAACAGAAATCAGAATCCGCTGTTCCAGGCTGAAATCTGGATCTCCGTTACCCATGTCCTTGCTCCTCTGTTAACTTCACTGATGCTGCACAAGCCTAAGAGCAGAATAAGAACCTGTGTAGTTGATGCACGCTTTGTTTGGAAGTGTTTTTTAATGTCAAACTTATGCACTTTCTGATGTGAGAAGGGTCTTCACAACATCATGGTTTACACTGGGACAATTACAACTTTTTTCACCTCAAGTGCTTCCTAGATTTACAGACAATACGTACAGATTTCATGCAGTGCATATATTTAAAAACAGACAGTTTTATATCTGTATCAGACAAAAGAATTTATAGTGCACCATTTGGAAAACAAATCAGTAGAGAAGAATTTGGCAGCCTCTCAACGTAATATTGATTATTAAGCAAGTTGTATTATTGCTCCAGCATAATCTGTTTGCTGTACATATTCTGATGGTATCCAAAAGGTTATGATTTTGAACTATATTTTGCAATAAATATTTTAAATTAAATCAATGGCTTTTACTTCCTGAATTCCTAAAAGTACAGCATGAAGTTATTTTGAAAAAGAGCGGTGTGCTTTTCCAACACATTTTAATTGCTAATCCAAAGCAGAGTGAAGTTTAATGAGAGGCTTTTCCACTCACTTAAGTATATGTTAGCTTAGGCTCAAGTCTAAATCTCTATGCGGATTTTTATAGTACCTATCACTGTTGTATCTAACCCTCCCTGAGTACTAAACACCCAGGCAACTGGCTTGCTAAAGTACATTTTGAAACTCCACACGTCTCTCTAATTTGTCCATGGCTTACCAGGTTCTTCAAACAATGCAAACTCTGAGGTGCTTTGATGTGGGAAGTATCCGCACTTGTTGCAAAATTCTTTATTCTGAGGAACAAGATGAGCCCTTTGAACTAGGCTGCTCCAGAGAAAACTCGGGGACAGTTGTGAATGTGTCTGCTAAGGCTCCCTGCTGATGCTTCTTACAAGCAACCTGATGCCATGCATGCTTGGGAAAACAAGAGGAAACCCTAACTTTTGCCCCTTATTGTGAATTCTGCCCTCCTCATTTGTGACACTGCAGTTATAATTTTGACATTGATAAATGTAATGAGCCATGTTTATACTTCCCCTGAGTCCACAAGCTTAAGTCAGAGAAGCCTGAGCCATTTTGAGGGGGGTTGTTAATCTATTAGTTTTGCCAAAGTCAGAAGTTGAGATAGCTAAATACTTTTAAAATATTTTGCTACATGTTATCAAGACAGCTGGTTCCCTTGATTGAAAATAGCTGAGTTAATAAGCATATTGAGCAACTGATCAAGGGGTCCCTAGCAATAACCCCTTGCCCGTGGGGACATTAATATAGAGATTTACCTTTAAATATCAGGACAGGTTTTTTTTTAAATCAGTAATGTGATAAGATCCAAAGCTGTCTAATGTGCCCTACACAGAAGTGGGCCCTGAAGGCGCTTGTGTGGAAGCTGATAGATCCAATAAACAGAGTCCCCCCCAAAAAGAGGTGACCTAGGGAGAGTCTAGAGAATGAGAGACTGTGGGCTTGTCTACACTATCCCGTAAGTTGATGTAACTTAAACGCTGTCCACACTGTGTTTTGTTAGCGGGAGATTCCCCCCCTCCCCAACATAGCTTCTGCATCCCACTGAGGTGGAATAATTATACCAAAGAGGGAACACTTTCCCATCCATGTAGCACATCTTCAGCAGACACTACAGCAGCACAGGTGCACCAATGTATCAAAGCCCTAACTAATACCAACTAAAACCAAAAGTTTTCACAGCAGTTTAGGGAAGGTTTTCTACCAGAAAGCACACAAAAGGACTTTGTTTTTGCAGGCAGGTGGGGTGGGGAAGGATTTGAGGGTGTGTATGTGAGAGGATTGTTTTATGCAGAACACGAGACAGCTATTCACCAGGGTGGGGATTTTCAAAAGAATCTAAGGAGGACAGGCTCTTCTGGGGTTGTGAATTCCTATAGACTTTGGCATCTTGCTCCCTTAGGGTACGTCTACACTACAGAGGAAGATGGAAGCTGCTGCTGTTGATCTTCCAGGGTTTGAATTAGCAGTCTAGTTAAGACAGCTAATTCAAAGTGAGGGGGCTCTCCGGTCAATGCCAGTAACACTGCTTTCCTGAGGAGTAAGGGAAGTCGAAGAAAGAGTATTCTTCAACTTCCTGCAGTGTGGACAGCGCCAAAAGCTGAGTTCAGCTACTTCGACTTCAGCTATGCAATTAACGTAGCTGAAATTGCGTATCTTAATTCAACATTGTCCTTTAGATGCATTTGAAAATCCCAGTCTGTAAGATCTGAGCCTTTGTATTTTATTCTCCTTAACGCAACTATTTTTCTCGTGCCCCACTCCTTCCTCCAGAATCTATAGTCACCTAGGTAATGTTTACACTGGGGAGTTATTTCGAAACAACTTCCCTTCTTTCAAAATAACAAGTTGAGCATCCACACTACTAAGCCTGTTATTTCGAAATAATGAGCTTGTTATTTCAAAATAATAACGCCTGCTTGTGAAGAGGAATAAGCTTATTTTGAAATAGTTATTTCGGGAGTTATTTCAAAATACCTTATTTTGAAATAACCTGGTAGTGTAGACATAGCCGTAATGGGTCTAATTTGGGCCTTGATCCTACAAGCTCTTATTAAGGTGCTTGCCTTCCCACCTGTAAAGAATCCCATTGACATCAAGAGGACTACTCACATAGGTACAGTTTTGCCCCACACTCTGTTTCTTATTACATCTCTGTATAAAAAGATCAGGAGTTGCAGAGTGCTGCAAAAAACCCAGCAAGTTATACCACAATGAATGTAGGTTAGTACTGCTTTATAATAAAATTATTATTAATAATACTAGCAATAATAATCAATAATAATATATAGTAATAATAATATTGGGAGGAGAGGTGGGACCAGGGTGCTATCAAAACAGTCCTTTATTTGTGAAATACAACATTGGTAACTCTACTCACAGGCCAAAATTAAAACATATGTCTGTCTGCAGGATCAGGACCGTGGAGTTAGCTGCTCAAGGCAGGGACCAGCTGAAATTTCAGTTGTTTGCACTAGCCCAGTTCCACTGATTTCAGTGGGGTTGTGCCAGAGAACACAATATAGCCACATCACGTTTTCCTATGTATTTGTATAGAACAATGCAACCCACCATTACTACATAAACATAAACATACTACGAATAATCATTCTCTGAATAATCAGGCACTTGCAATATGTTCCAACCAAAGGCATAAAGATACTTTAACTCTGGTGAATTAAAGAGGAAGGCACATATCATTTCAAGGCAGAAACTTTGGTGCCTTTTTTATTATTTGCAAAGGTAGTATTGACATCTCTCAGTAGATAGGAAAAAGCTTAAGACCCAAATGATAAACCCATTAAGCAGAGCTGTGCCGTGAAAAAAGCTCTCAGTATTACAGTCCTTCAATATTCTTTCTCCATCCATCTTGTTGCTGAGATACAGTACTCAATCACTCCCTGCCGGATTCCATAAAAAGCCATAGAAATGTAAGATTGTCTCCATCCATCACTGCACTAACAGAGCCAGCAAACCCCAGGGGGCTACTATTCACTTCCAGCAATATTCACCTTCACAAATGTCATGTAGACAAGTTGTCACATTCTAATGGTCCTTGAGTTTGTCCCAAGACCCCATCCAGCAGCCCAACTTAATTCTTTAAAAGGCAGTTGCTGCCCAGTTCACTACATTTGATCCAGCACAATTTCATATAACCTAGGACACCCACAATCTCTTTTTAAGATTACAATAAGGCCTGTCATTTTCTGTTCTCAAAACTTCCATCTCAGACTATGTCCCAGGAGAAAACATTTACTAAGACCAATGAGTATGGCGTCACCACAGGTTTTAAAGTCCTTAATTCAGACCTAGGAACTTGATTCTCAATGCCCCATGAGGTCATTTTATGTGGCTGGAGCAAAGGTGACCAAAAAAGGTGACCTAAAAAGGCAGCTGAGTATTGCCAAGATGTAAGGAATCCTTCAAAACAGCTTTACACTGCCCGCTTCCCCCACTCACCATCTAGAAGACACAGGAAAGGGATGTTCCTCTGAGATGGGAAGGGGTGGGGTGGTAGGGACTTGAGGAGGTAGAATTGGAGCAGGAGGTATATCACTGACCCGCTACTAAGGGATGATTCTTAGGTCAAGTCTACACTGACACTTTACAGCACTGTAAATTTCTGGCTTAGGGGTGTGAACATACACACACACACACACACTCTCTCTCTCTCCGAGTGCAGGAAAAGTTACAGCACTGTAAAGCACCAGTGTGAACTAGGCTACAGATATCCTGACATTGGAAAAAGTTCAAAAAAGGACAACAAGAATGATTAGGGGTTTGGAATGGCTGCCAGAGAGGTCTATACAATCATGACTGGTGTGGAGAAAGTGAATAAGAAAAAGCTATTTACTTGTTCCTATAACATAAGAACTAGGGGTCACCAAATGAAATTAGTAGGTTGCAGGTTTAAAACAAACAAAAGGAAATACTTCATGCAATGCGCAGTCAACCTGTGGAACTCCCTGCCAGAGGATGTTGTGAGGACCACGATTTTAACAGGTTCAGAAAAGAACTAGATACTTTCATGGAGGACATCAATGCTTATTAGCCAGGATGGTAGGAATGGTGTCCCTAGCCTCTGTTTGTCAGAGGCGGGGAATGGGTGACATGGGGTGGATCACTTGATGATACCCTGTTTTGTTCATTCCCTCTGGGGCATCTGGCATTGGCCATTATCGGAAGACAGAATACTGGGCTAGCTGGATTTTTGGTCTGACCCACTCTGTCCATTCTGATGTTCTTATGTTGAATCTTTTCTCCAAAGTTCTGCACCCTGTCCAGACACAGAATGCCCATCAGCATGAATAGCGTATCTGTGTGAACATTTCCAGTGGCTCATCAATACTCCACTTTTCCTGTTTCAGAGACTTCCCATGTAGTGGTATGGGGGGATGTCTGTCTTGGAGTGGTGTCAGCAAAGTCATGGACACACACATATCCAAGAAATAAGTTGACCAAATTCAAGCCCATTGCAATTATCACAAAAGGTGAAATTTGCTCCTTTGCAGAGACCCAGCATAAAGCCTATGCTCCACTGAGTGGCACTGGCAGTAGCTCCAGGACCATGCCTGGGGGGGCCTAGTGCCTGGGGCAACCTCCCAGTGTCCCAGTTGTGGGGACCGGGGTAAACCCCACCACCACCACAGGCTCCACCCCATCCCTCAAACCCTAGCAATTATCACAAAAGGTGAAATTTGCTCCTTTGCAGAGACCCAGCATAAAGCCTATGCTCCACTGAGTGGCACTGGCAGTAGCTCCAGGACCATGCCTGGGGGGGCCTAGTGCCTGGGGCAACCTCCCAGTGTCCCAGTTGTGGGGACCGGGGTAAACCCCACCACCACCACAGGCTCCACCCCATCCCTCAAACCCTATCGCTGCTCTGCCCATACCCCA